ATCACAGAGAGGAGAAGTTCATTTTTTACTGATCGTCGTAAATGAACTAGGGCTCGGTTAATTACTGCGTTCTCTTAATCTGTAAGATATTAAACAGCAGATATATATAATATATATTACTTTGATTCACATGGGTGAGGTTCAGTTCACTGGATCAATATTCCTACTGTTTTGGGTAATATTATTATGTATAGGATGTGTTGTTAGGATATTTACGGTCACCATGTGCGTTAGTTTGATGATGTCCCCGGAGTGAGTTCATGAATGATTGTTATGCTAAACTCTGCAGGTGGATTAAGTTCCGGCATAATAAGAATGTGATGAACGAGCGCTAGCTTCGGTGAAATAATAATAAATTAATTAATTCTTGATTGTCAGTAATCGAATTAATTAATGGACATTATATCTTAAACGTGGGGAGGTAAATCGAGTAATTATTATTGGAGTCTCAAATGTAATTTGGGCTAGGAAAAGGGAGTGCAATAATATAATGTTGGTAGCTCATTAATATTATTTAATTAATTAGAAGTGTGGGCTTGACCCACAGTTAGTCTAATTAATTAAGGAGCCTTTTCCCTAATCTCCTAAGGGTCCCTACTGTAGCTCTATATATACATCATTAAGCTCATGAGAAGAGAATCTCAATCTCATTCTAACGAGACACGCCCCACGCCTCTCTCTCTCTCTCTAGATCTCGTTCGAGCTTTATCTTCTTCTTGTTGCTCTACTGGTACAAGTTGAAGAAAGGTATATTGAGTAATACAATAGAAGATTTGTAGGTAAACCGAGACGAAATATATTTTGTCCTACAGAACTAACCGGAGGTTCGATTGAGACGCACAGCATACCCAGACGACCGTCTTGACGAGAGCTTCCCATCGCCGCTGAGATCGATGGATTCCGACGCCATACGCGCCCTAACGCGCCATCACAAGCTGTCTGGATGCAAGTTTGGTTTTGATCCGTTTACATCCGATTGATCCGTTTTTGATCTGATCTTGTTCATGCAACCCAAGACGTGATTTGTGGTCAATCATTTGCGGTCAACTGTTTGTGGTCAACCAGATCTACATAAATTTTAAGCCGTAAGTTCTTAACGTCAAACCTTTAGATCCGCTGCGCATAGGTTTACGTTTGCTATTGAATTCGTGACTTGTACATAACTAGATCCTCACAGATCTCAACAAAAGGTTATTGTCCAGAACCTACCGGGAGATTTTCGGGCTCTACCGGAGGCTATTCGGGACCTACCAGTAGCTGTCGGGGCCTACTGGGTGCTACCAGAACGAACCAGCGGCTGTTCGGGGTCAAACATAGCCTTGATAGCTGATAAACTAGCTTATAGCTTATCAGTAATTTTTAACCCTATAGCTTGTAGCTTATGACTTATGGATGGAAAGCTATCTTATATGATAGCTGATAAGCTAGCTGAAATAAAAATTTCAACGAACTTATTTGAAAAACTACCTAAAGAAACTTATGAGATAAGCTCGTCTTATCAAACGAAGCTTATTAAATACATGAAGTTTATAAAATAACAAAATAAGTTATAAGTCAGCTTATTTGTCTACCAAATATAATCTTAGAACGTCCTTATTTCTAGAAAAGAATAATAAGTTAAATCTTATTGGTTCTGGGCTACAGTATTGGAGAACATGAAGGGCCTTGTGATTTTTCTGGGCCAATATTTAACAGGTTAGGTCCGACAAATATAATGTTTAGTTCATTTCATTTTCTCATTTTTTTAATCCTTACAGGAAATCGACTTTGACAATACCTTCTATTTCATATTATCTGTGTCACTCATCATGTAAAAACACTAGCTTTATTCATCAAATAATGCAACATTACAAACCCCATGTGCAAGTTTATATTTGGATTGTATGGTACGTTCGATTGGATTGAACAATCATATTTTTGTGAAAACACATTAAAACATTTCACCTAATAAATATTTCAGGATAAATTGCTACTATAAATTAAAAAATACTGACATTGATATATTCACAGTAAATTTCTTTAAGGCTGTGACAACAACATCTGCCTATCTTTGATGTGAAATAATTGCAGCTCTAAGACTCCAACTAATCTGTCTAATATGAAATAATTAATTTCTCATGAAATAATTAATTTCTCATCCAATGTATTTATTTTCATTAATTGAATTCTGCATAGTTGTTTCCAATATTTATGTCATATCTGCATTAGCATCTCATAGTAATTCAACTATTTCAGTTGCTTTCTATCCAACCATCATTTAATTTTATTTAGTGTCACTAATTAATTAGGTTTTCAAATCCTAATAATTGTTGTGCCATTTGATTTAATTAGTCCACAAATTGTTAAAAGTAAAAGTTGACAAAATCACGCGGTAACATGCACTCAAATGCTGATTAGGTGAAAAGGTTGAAACAAGTGTACAGGTTATGTTAATTGTTCTTTAATATTATGTTCTCTATTATTTTTTTTAAAAAAAAAATAAGAAAAATAAAGACGAGGGGCTTTGGTTTTAAAATATAAAAAGTTAACAAAAGGTATGCAAGACTCCGTGATTTTTGGGGTAAATTATACGATATTATCGGCCTCATGAAATATTTTTTCTTGATTGATAGTCAATAATGGCAGACAAAATAAAGTCATGTTCGGCTGTGTTTTATGGGTACTCAATCTCAGATTGAATAACACCGTAGACACTCTTACTTAATATCATTTCCTTTATTTTCTCCGAATATTAAAATGTTGGGGGTATATAAACCTGCATTTTACTTTATAATAGTCAGACAATTGTATTTTTTAAATAGGATACTGATTAGATAATTATATTTTTTTAGTATATATATAATTTAAAATTAAATATCATATATAATAAATGTATGTGGTGTTTTACAGCTTGAAAATATCCATAATGCTTTGATTTAGTTATTAGGGAAAAAAATTATATACTAGATAGAAAATAGACTCAGACTATGTTTGGCAAATATAACTAATAAGCTAGCTAATAGTGGATGGGTTAGCTGATTGATGGCTTATGGTTGAAAAACTAACTACTATGATAAAAGTATTTGATAAAATTAGCTGATAAGTCAGCTGAAATAAAAATTTCAATAGTCTTATATATTTGAAAAGCTACACAATAAAGCTTATGAGATAAATTCAAGTTTTTTAGAAAAGTTTGTACTAGCAAACCAAGTTTAGCTAGTTTATAGTGCTTAACAAACACACTCTTAGAATAATAAAAAAAATATATATATGTTTTCCAATGCAACTCAAAATAAATTGGATCCAATT